TCAGATCCCATTTTATGACAAATTAATGCAGAACACCATGAAATTCCAAAAGGTTCACATACTTTTTCTTGCAACTGTATATGGATGTTTGCTAGCTACTTAAAACTATAAAATGGGAGTGGACAGGACATCTATTTTTTAAATTAAATTTGTTTGTTGGAATAATAAAGCCAATACAATGGGGATGTCCATTATCAAGAAGATCTTAGCAACTGTGAATTTAACAGTAGTTAAAGTTATTAGTGCTGTTTTTGAACTGTTAGTTTTTTTATTTATTTATGATTTTAAAAAACTGAAGTAGTGAAATACAAACAACTACACCACCAATAATACAAAATACAGTAGTGGTGATATGATTAAAATTATAGTATAGTGATTAAAGAAATTAAACCTAAGATAGGAAAAACATGTACAAAAAATTCATATATCTATTTAGTATCAGTAGTGAATTAATTATTTCCTTAAGCTTGAAATGTAGAACCATATTGCTCCATCTTCTCATTTTTAGAATATAAAGACTTTTCAAAAATAGATAACAGATTCATATCCTGAATCTATTCCTTAATAGGAGAAGGACAATGTCCTTTCTATTTATGTAAGATTATCCTCTGCTGAATGCCAGGCATGGTAGAGCTAAACCTCTTCATAAAATAAAAATTCCATACTGAACTGCTAGTTGAACTGATAAACTAAGGTTTGTGTTATTTTTGAAATATTAAGTTGAGAAATTGTATTTGAAATACATTTGTATCTTCAGAAACTTTCTCATGAAGAAGAACAGACAAAATGGAAGCAGTCATTCTCTAAATCTCATCATGTTAATGGGCAACTACAGCAGATCAAGCTAGAACTGGATGATGCTCAGGACACTGTTTATAATCTGCAACAACAGCTTCAGTCCAGAGATGATATGATTCAAGCAGCAAATGAAAAGTTGCTTCTTAAAGTGAGTTAAGAACAAAATATTTGCATGGGATATAGGGTTGTCATCTCAATTCATTTTACAGGTACTGTGTAGTACATGTCTATAACATTGAAATCTGTATTCTGGATGGTACTCATTCATAGCTACTGTGAAAACCTTGGATAAAGATAGGGGGTGGAATAAAAAAAAAATAATGTATTGTCGAAGGCAATAAATGTATTGTCGAAGGAATAATAAATAAATAAATAATAAGTTTGCAAAATTGTAAGTTATCGTTGAAGAAGAGGGTTGATACTGTTAATCCTTACAAAGTGTGCTTTGGATGGATATGTTGGGGTGCCAAACTAAGCTAAGAACATAATAGAAATGATAGAGTTACTTTGTGTGAGATGGGCGGCTATAGAAATATGACAGAGGGAGGGAGGGAGGGAGGCTGCCTTTATGGTGTTAGGGAATTTAATGGCAAAGGACAAGTTGCAAGTGCAATATGTGGCTTGCCTCCTTCAGCTTGCTATTTTTACATAAACATCACATACATACATACATACATACATACATACATACATACATACATACATACATACATAC